TAATAATAATAATAATAATAATGATAAAGTATCAAGTCAATTGCAAAAAACAATGCTTTCAGTGAGCACGATTTCACTTCAAATACTTGATATGATTCATTGTCCCATCCTTTAGAATAGACTATTTGTGCAACTCATGTGTGTTTCACACTTGTGTCGGTTTAATATAAATGTAGGCAAGAGGAGCTGGCAGTGAAAATAGTGAAGCCCTGGTGAGCTCTCACGAGGATGCTGAAGCACTGGATAGGACACCCAGTATTAGTTCAGGGAAATCATGGGCTAATGCGTATGCTAAGGTATGAGGGGAAAGTGTTATCTAGTGATTTTTCTTAATCTTGTTAAATACATTGGTACTTGCCGGGCACATTACTCATTATTGTAGCACATGTTTGATGCATATAATATTCATCAATATAACTATTGTTCAAGCGAATCACCAAATAGAAGTAATTTCAGGAATATTAGAAAATGTGGGTTATTGTAACAGCAGCAATAAAAGTAAATTCGAACAAATTTCAGCATTAGCACTCTAATATATAGTGCTTGCGAATTATTGTCATTCTTCAAAAACCAGGCTCCTTGAGAAAGGCACCCGACAGCACTACACCGCTTCTTTGTTAATGAGCTGCACTATTTTTCTAAATTGGTACTGAGTATGGGGTGGGTGTACTTAATGCACACCTCTTGTATGCAGGCTTTATTTTGTTCTGTTAATTATTATCTTTCCGTGTGCTTTATTTTCATTAAGCTCTTCGTAACACTTGCAGCCTGTTAAGCATTATCATCTCGGAGATCAGGTGCACGAACCTGTTTGTGATAAGAATTCGAGTATGGCATCGGATTCGGAGTACGGTTCCGCCATATCAGGACGTTTAGGTTTGGTAACTGGAAGAGTGGTTGATAAAGCTAAAGAGTCAGGCTATGGCAAGCCCTGGTATGCATCTAGCAGTGACATTACTGGAATTTCTGAGAAGAAGAATGGTTTTGGCCTGAAACACGGACATGAAAGCCGTGCTGCTCATGATCCCTTTATTTCTGACTCAGCCCCTCAGTTGAAGCAAAAATCGGTTATTGCTAACTCTAACGGGATGAGTGGGGACTGGAAGGACACCGAGGAGGAGGAGTATATGTGGGACGAAATGAATTCGAGATCCACTGTTCGTGGCTCTGCTGATGCCTCAACAAAAGATCATTGGGCACCTGATAATTACGAAAGATTGGTAAGTTTGACGACCGCTTTAGCGTATTTAAAATATTTTATAACCTTTTTGGTGGCCCTGCGTACATTTTTTGCCTCGAGTATTTGTGAACATTCTGCATACGATTTTACGGGATTATTCTAAAATTGTTTAGGGCTTGCTTGTTTACAATTTAATTTACTCACATTTATTTCATACTCAAAATCTAAACTCAACTTTAACTCAACCCCACTAATTTAATATTATTCATAGAATTAAATAATACAAACCAACCATTCTTACACATCACATCAACTTTAATTCACTATTCATCCACTCACATAATTTTAACTACCTGTCATTTTCAATCATTTCCAACTATTTATCTCCTACTTTTACATCAAATCAATTTTACTCATTTTTTTTTAAATTTCACTAACTGACCATACTACGTTTGCAAATCTAATTACGGTTAACCAAAATAACTCATTTTGAACAGATTATTTGATAAACAAGTGCGCCCTTGGCTATTTTTCAATTGCCTAATAGTTAGATATTCACTTTGTTACAATTTATTTTAAGAAAATGTACTGTACTCTCACTTTCTCCAACCAATAATTGATGTTGGATATTCTTTGTTACAGTTATTTTGACAAAATGGACTGCATTCTCACTTTCTCCAACCAATAATTGAACTTTTTGCAGGGCTTTGACAGTCATCTCCAAAGGTCTCAAAGTTTGCACGATAATGTAACAAGGGACGATGATGAAGCCTCAGCCGATTCTATCTTCTTGGACCCAACCCAAGTGATTCCCAAGACTCAATTGCCCGAGTGGTCACATAAGTCACATCCACCGGAAGGGAGGATAGCATCAGCTACTGTTAAAAATATACCGATCTATTCTACTGGGAAAAGCTCTCAAATTATGTCGGCCAAGGCACGCCCGGGTCCATCTCATGTTGCACCCTCGAGCTTAAAGTTGTCAACGAGATCTGGAATGCATCAACACCCATCATCACCTTCTTTATCCTCACATGACGTGAAAAACCAGCTACCAAACAATTTTCCCGAGCGCAACCGAGCATCCACTGGGCTTCCTATGGATCCAAGAAGGCCTTCAGGGTATAAGAATTCGTCTGATGATTCCCTGTCTTTGCCACAAAAGATACGGTCTTCATCTCCCGTCATTCCCCCTGTTCGGCAAAGGAAAAATGCTACTGCAGCAGCAGCCCAATTGAGGAATCCAGAAGCTTCTGGATTTGAATCTTCAGGTCAACTACATGATGACTTGTTGCGTTCACAAAATCCTGGCGGCTCTGAAAACCGATCAACTATGGGTAACTCGTCATCCGACCAGTCGAATCCTCTCACAGTTGACTCCCCAGGAAAATCCATTACCAGCAATTTGTTTGATGCTGTAGGAAAAAGTAGAATGTCAAAGAGTACCATCTCCAGTAGCTTAAATAAGCCGAGCCCTCAAGAAGATTTGCCGGGATTAACCTCGAACCTCCCTGAAAAGACGCCAATTGCAGTTGACTTCTCACCGAATCCCGTTTCGAACCTTCTAAGCACTTTGGTCGCAAAAGGTTTGATAACCTCTTCAAAATCCGGCTCACCGCTGCCTGAACCTCCCAAAATAGCCGATAAGCCCATAGACAGAGTATCTATGTCCACAAGCTCAGGTCCAAAACCTCTCACGCCTAAAACTGAAGGGCCATCCTCATCCGAGCCTGATGCTGCTGCTGCTACGGTTAGTACGTCTGAGGGTTCGCTCGGGTCACCACCAAAAATAAAAAATCTCATCGGTTTCGAATTCAGGCCACATGTGGTCCGTAATTTGCATCCGGATGTGGTAAATGATCTTTTTACCGATGTCCCGTACCAGTGTAACATATGCGGTCTCAGGCTTAAACTCCAAGAACGGCTCGAGAGGCACATGGAGTGGCATGCATCGAAGTCTCCCGAGGAGAATGATGATAATAAAAATAATAATAGTAATAATATTAATAATAAATCGAGGAGTTGGTACACAAATATAGTCGACTGGGTTGCGAGAATCGACCCTCTGGAAGATTCTGGATGTTCCGATGACATTCCGGAAGAAGATAAAGGGCCCTTGGTCCCAGCAGACGAGAGCCAGTGCGCGTGTTTTTTGTGTGGGGAGTTGTTTGAGGACTTTTACAGCTGCGAAAGGGATGAGTGGATGTTTAGAGGGGCTATTTACTTGACCGACCCATCGAGTTCTGGTGAGCTTCCAAGTCCTATTATAGTCCATGCGGACTGTGTAACGGAGGATTGTGTTCGCGACTTGGGGCTGGCTTGTGATGTCAACTTGGTAAGTATATTTACTTGATAAAAAATAGTTGCGATATGGCGTGAAATGCGTAGAACTGAAGTTGTTGCTTTGCTATACATCAAAATGATCTACTATTTCTCATACTTTGGTAATTTTTTGGTGGGGAATTTATTTGTAGGATTTGGAGGCTGCTATGCCTTAAAAGGAGTCTCAAGGGCATATGGCTTTTGTGAAGCAAGTTTGATAGCATTAAAGCATGTTGAAATTCTGCATGCTTTTTTATAGTGCATTGGGGCACAGTAAAATTTTGTATGTTCACAGTAATTGAGGTCAGATGAGATTTGATTATATGATTGCTGGTTAATGATTGTGCACTTTGTGAGATGTGTTCACTTTATGGGAGTTTTTTTCTTAGTTCACTTTTTTGTTTTGTGTAAATTGGAGGAAATAGAAATTATATAGGATATGGCAGATGGTTGGTATGCAGTTATTGATATACTATGTCGTCTTTTTCGCCATAGTCATCTCATAGCAATTGCAGCTTTTTAATCAGCTACAGGCTTACACGAGTGTTAAGCTCAACTTGAAGTGATGAAATGCTGATGGTGTGCGCGAATTTCGGTTAAAACTGCAGTAAACGAAAGATTTTTCTTCGATTTTTTCAATCTTTTTTGGTTATTTTTGGTTTGGTTTGTGTTCATGATATCCGAAATAAGTCTTGTAATTTTAAATTTTATTGCATTTTCATTTCCAAAGGACATAATTTGTATTGAATTTTAAAATCATAGGACCAATTAACAAAAAATGTTCAATTCTTAGGATTAAAAGCGCCGTTGGATCAAACCAACATGACTAAAATTGCAATTTTGTCGTATATGGAATATGCAATTTTGACTCAAGACATGCCAAATGTTTGCTAATCTTAGAGCATCTCCAAGAGTCTCTTTATTCTTCTTTCTTATCTCAAAAATAGGGATTTTCTTTCAAAAACTGTCTTCAACAGTTCCTCCAAACTTGGTCCTATTTTTAGGATGCCTTCAAATAGAGGCTTCTCTTCCTCATTCTTGGGGAGGGAAAAATAACCCCCCATTTTATCTCCCCACCATTATTTTCGATACGCGCTCTTTTCTTTCAACCTCTCGCGGTCTTTTTCCTCCCTGCTCCTTTCATCTCCTCCTCGTCGCCCTCCACCGCCGCCCGCTCGCAGCATCCACGGCCGCCCCCTCGCCGCCCTCCGCCGCCGCCCCTGAACATGTTGAATCCCTCGCCGCTGCCGCCGCTGGAAAGGTGTCGCCACTACCGGATGGAAGGTGTCGGCGTCGCCCCAGGACGAAAAGGTGGCGCCGCCGCCGCAGTTGCCTCAAACAAGGTGCCGCCGCCGCTGCCCGATCAAGACTCCATCGTCGGCATCTCAAGAGGTCCACCCAGTCTGGGCTTCAAGTGAGCTTTTAGATAGATTTGTGGGTCTGGTTCAAATTCAAATTATAAAATAGGGAGACTCTTGGAGGACAGCAGAAAATAGGAAACAAATGAATATAGGACGGCTCCTTATTTCTCCAAATAGGAAAGTCTAAAATAGGAAGTCTCTTGGAGATGCTCTTTAACCATGGAGAAGAAACCATGGTTACCTTTTGCTCCTTGATAAGTGCATGACCACTCTATTGAAACGTCCCTTTTTAATCCCCTAAAAGATGCTACCTTCTAACCAAACATTATAGATGCATCATTAAATTGCTTTTAAATCAAGCTATCATATAAGAACCATCCAAAACTCCAAATTATTCTAATCAGCAGTGTTGCTGCTGGGAATACCTAATAATAAGTTTTCACAGTTTTCGCTTTTGGTATTCAGAATTTGAATATAATCAATCTTGCTGCTTCAAAATTTCTTTCATTAATCAATACTTTTGAATAGTTAATTAATGTTTGATCGAAATCCAGCCGTTGTATTTTCATTAGAAAAATTCATTTCGAACATATATCGGTACAACAAAAACTTCTCAACGCATCTAAACTTCACATTTTATCCTTCTGCAATTTTTATCAGATCGATAATTCTTCTGTTAGACAGTCTAACTACTAGGTAACTATACTCTTTCAACGTATATACATACCTGCACACACAAATATCATGCTTTATAATAATAAAAGTACATCATTTCATAGTATAAAATATGTATTTTTCATAAGACAGTATGATTGCCTAACGAGTAGACAACCTACCAGCAATTTTTGTATTATTTAATTGCCTACAGAAATATTTATGTCTAAATTTCAAATTGAACTCAAAGTATCATAATTTCAAATTTCAAAATTGAAACTAAAATAATTACTTTCCAATTCCATTCAAATTAAATAAACCAAGGACCCATTCAAATTAATCACAACCATTTTTCTCCACATTTACAAAATTTTAATAAATCACAAATATTTCATTTTTTTTTCAAATTACCATAAGTAGCTCATGACCTGGCCAATAATAAACTCCAAAATTCCTTTCTCAACGCCAAACACTAAATTTGTGATTCAGTTACGATGTATAGTACAAGTTTGACCGCAAAAACTGTTGGACAAGTAAAGCACAAAACACACACACACACACACACACAGACACACACGCACACACACACACACACATTTCAACTCAAAAAACCTTCAATAACTCCATTTTTTTGGTTCTTCACTCTAAACCAACCAAAACTCCTCTGTTTTTTTTTCCCCCCAAAACTTCAATCTTTTTATTTTTCCCTTTCCTTTTTCTGAGTCATAAAATATGCGAAGCATCGGGATTTGCCACGGCGAACAATCCGTGAAAGTATCAAATTCTCACGGCTCGACGACCCTTCCACAAGCCGGCTCATCAAGCTCGATCGTCTCCACGTACAAAGTCAAGCTTTCGACCGGTAAAAGCCTCGTGATCGAGCTCATATGGCGCGAAACCCTATCCAAACTTACCATTTTGCCCTCGGCCCACGAGCAAATGGCCCGAAATCACGTTGTTTTGCGCGAGGCCCGAGGAAAGGAGCGCTTGCCGGACTCCGAGATCGAGGTCCATTGGGACCTCACTCGGGCCGAGTTCGGGCCCGGGCCCGAGCCCTTGTCCGGATTCTACGTTGTGGTCATGGTGGGCTCCGAGACGGGCCTAGTCCTTGGGGACTTGGTGGAAAAATGGGACGATTTACCGAGAAAGTTCAAATTGATGTCTCGACTTGAATTTGTGGTGGGGGATGCGTGGCGGTCGACCGGGGTTAGGTTTTCGAGTGACGGGAGGCGGCACGACGTGTCGGTCGAGTTTTCGGGAGGTGACGTGTCGAGAAAATCGAGCCTCTCAGTTCGTGTGGACGGGAAGAGTGTAGTCGAGGCGAAGGGTTTGGGGTGGAATTTCAGGGGGAACCAAACGGTGTTCTTGGATGATGGTTTGATTGTGGTGGATTTGATGTGGGATTTGCATGGATGGTTATTCGGGCCGGTTCTGTCGGGCCGGGCTGTGTTCTTGTTCAGGACACGGGCCGGGCTGGACAAAAGGCTTTGGATGGAGGTGGAAAAGAGTGGTGTGAAGGATGATGATGATTTTGGATTTTCAATGGTGGTTTGTGCATGTAAGAATAATCCGGATTGAATAAATTGATTTTTTATGTGTGTTTAATTTTTGTTAATTTTATTTAATTATTTATTTGGTGTTCCATTTTGGTTTAATTGGGCTGATTGCAAAATATTTTTATTTTTTTTTTGGAAACACGGTTCATCAACCATACTTCTTTAGTAAAAAAATTGTAATTATATATTTATATGGTAACATATTATATATCTTAATTTGTATTGTTTTTTTTTTTTTTTTGGCATGACATTTCGTTTAAAATAATATAAATTTATCGAAATAGCATATTATAATCGTGACAATTATTATAGTTTATTTTTTAAAACGCAATAGATCAGCCATAAAAAGTTATAATTATGGTGTAACATGTTATGCTAAATTTCATTTTTAGTGCATTATTGACTATTTTCTGAAAATGGTCTATCGTATAGGACGTCTTCAAAAATGGTCCACTAAATTGTCATTTTAATCAAAACTCGTACAAAAGTCAACATAATGTACTAAATATGCAACTAACAATGATCACTTTTAGTACACTATGTTGGTTATTGTACGAATTGTGATTAAATTGACAATTTAGTGAACCATTGTTGATGACGCCCTAGATAATAAACTTTTTTTCACAAAATAGCCAACATAGTGGACAATTTTTGAAAATTTTTGCCTAACATTTTACATCTTAATTTGTATTGCTTTTTTTTATTTATGATTATTTCATTACAGAATTATATAAATTTATTGAAACAATATATTATAGTCGTGGCAAATATTGTATATTTTGAAATATGAATATATATATATATATTATCTGGCCAAAATTTGGGTCAAAATCATCACCTAAAAAAGTCTGATGTAGTTAATTATGCACGGGACTCATCTAACAAAAACTATTTTAAACAAGGACTTGTTAACTACTACCATGGACCTAATTGCAACTTGTTATCCATCTTATTCATCATATTTAGCATTTTGTTGTGTCTTCATTATTGAAAACAGTTGTTTATGAAATATATTGAGTTAGATAAATACTCTTATGCAATGTGAGTGTGTTTGAAATTTAGAGAGGTGCTACGGTCATGTTCCAGTACCATTTCATTGGGGTTTGTAGCCGTTAGATCAACTATTCCCGATAGTTACATGATGACCTAACAGTTACAAATCTCAACGGAATGATTCCGTAACGAGACCTACATTTTCCTGAAATTTATTAGTTTATTACCATTGTGTATAAAATTTTATAGCTTCATCCAAATTATAGTCCTATAATTCATAATTAGTGGATTGAGATAAAATTAGAGGATTGATCCTTGTTTAGAGGTTTGACTGTGAAATCCGTTAGTTTGTTTGATGAAGTACACAATTCATATCACAATTTTTTTTTTATCCACTTAAGTTTTCCATCATCTTATAGAAGATATCCAATTTATTACCAGTAATAAGATTTGACATTTGACATTATTTAATTGACATATTAAATTAATTAATCGTTCAATTTTAAGAATTAAAAAAATTTATAGAGATCCTCAAAATATAAATAAATAAAAAAACATGACTTGATTTTTTTATTTTTTTTGATGTGGCCATTTAATTGGCTACAAATTTAATTTGTGTACAGTTAGATGCGTACTTTTGTGTAATATATATTTGTGAATATTTATTTATGGGCTTAATAATATTAATTCAATTTAATTTCAACTTCAAATCTAGCTTCAAATTTTCGGTTTATTTTAGTGTTTCATTATACTCTCTCGCAAATTAACTTGGGCTACCAAGTTTGAGCTCGCGTCAGCCCAAGTTAAACTGGGCTTTTATGCCCAAATAAAGTGGGCCAAAATACAACAAATTTGTAGCCCATGCTGACGTGCGATCTCATGTGTTGACTTTCATCAACGTGCCTACTAGATAAGAGTGTCACGTCTCAAGTCAATGAATAGAAAAAAAATGTATAATTATTAATCATTTAATTAGATTTTTTTTTTTTTTTTTTCGGACAATCAATCTGTTTATTTTATTTTATGGATTGAAAAGGGCACAAAAATAAATTGGCAGCGTGAAATTTGATGAGCAGCATGCCATCATCAATAGGATGCACCATTAGAACCTATGCTTTAAATACCGTAGTCATGTCGGTCTAGCCGATCGGATCGATAATATCGGTGTTATTACCGGATTAACAAATATTATGATATATATATAAATATACATAAAAATATATAATACTAAATGCTAAAAAAGTAAAAAAATAAATGACCATAATTATTAATTCCAACTTTTCAATGAGATAAAAATAAAACATTTTAACTACCAATTTAAATTTTATATTTTAAAATTAGATTTTTTTTTTGCCAGTATTTTAGACCGTATTTTGCGGTATGACCCCGTACAAACCGGTATAACTGTAAATCCAATATTTTGAGTGTAATTATACCAATGGTCGTTATCCGGTATTACCGACCGGTACAGTACGGTATTTAAGACATTGATTAGAACAAGAGGTTGACTTTTTTGTTTTATTTTATTTTATTTGTTTTTTTTTTCTTTTTTGTCCTTTCATGCTGCAGAGAAAACACATTACTCTTTGTATAATATGTATTTTAAATTTTAATAGACTCAATATTGTTTATATTGGGCTTGATTTTTGTACTATTGTTTGAGTTCTTTCAGTGAGTACATTTTCAGTCTCTTCTCCACTCGACAAGAAACCGCAAACCACACAAATTAGTTCAAACTTTATTCGAAATTGAAATATATTTTTCTTTTACTTGGATAATTTTGTTAATTTAACATATATCTGAGTGGTTCGTCGAGATTCGAACATGCAAATTGCAAGACTTGAACTTAGTTTGAGTTCGAATTCAAGCTGCTCAAACTCAACTTGAGCATGGTCAAATTCCAATTCAAGTCGACTGTTGACTCGAGCATTGTAAACCGCTGAATTTCGTTTGCCCTATTAAACTAGTGATTATTGGTGTGAGTCATTTAATTCGTTTATAATCATAATTAGTCCATGTGTAAAGAGAATTAGATTTGACAAAAAAAAAAAAAAAGTAAATAAATACTAAGACCAACATTTGTCCTTAAGCCGCTGTTTTTGGTGCAGCCAATGGTACTTGCAACCCTAGCACACAATAACTTTCCCTATTAGTTTCTGTTGTTTTCAAATCTGTGGGCTGGGCCAAGTCAAACTCACTCGAGCCCATTGCAAAGTTGAATTCCCCTTTTGCCCTTTAAGTGGTAGTAGGCACATTGCACATCTCATAACAAATAGGTGACAACAACCTATTATTTGAGTTAACTATATAAGCTACAAAGTCATCCACGATTATTTACAAATACTTTATTGATATATTTTTTAAAATAAGTACACTCAAGAACAAATGAACAATAATTTAATTTATGAATGATTATAAGCAATAAATCAAGTTATTGATGCTTTTATAAGAAAATCGATCATCGTCAAAATTTTTATTACTTTGGTAGATTAATGCTAGAAACTTCTCAACATGTCACGTCAACTTTAATGTTCCGACGATGGACTTAACTGGTGGGAATTTGAAGCCTCTCCTTATATGAATTCCTTACTAATTTCAAAAGATACATAAAAACACACAAATTTCTTAATATTTTCATTTTATCTCTTTTAGCTCTTTTTCTTTTTTTTAGCTCTCCTAAATCCAAATTCCATAATAGGTGTGACCA